TTCTTTTTCTTCTTTCTCTCCTATCTCTCACTCTCTGTGTGTGTGTGTTCTATATATTTCAATGTTAATACCTATATCATTTTTATGAACTCAACTCTACAATAGGAGGTCAAAACAATTTTCCGAGTGAGCAGGAAGAAAAAATAAAGTCAGCTAGTGATATGAAAGACAGGAGAGAAAAATTTTGCTTAGGGATAAAGTGTCATGCGCGTCCATGTGAAGAGACCACTAGACAGGCTTTGTGTGAGCAATAAAGCTTTTTAATCACCTGGGTTCAGGTGGGCTGAGTCCAAAAAGAGAGTCAGCGAAGGGAGATAAGGGTGGGGCCGTTTTATAGGATTTGGGTAGGTAAAGGAAAATTCCAGTCAAAGGGGGGTTGTTCTTTGGCGGGCAGGAGTAGGGGGTCACAAGGTGCTCAGTGGGGGAAATTTTTGAGCTGGGATGAACCAGGAAAAGGAATTTCACAAGATAATGTCATCGCTTAAGGAAAGGACCAGCCATTTTCACTTCTTTTGTGGTGGAATATCATCAGTTAAGGCGGGGCAGAGCATTTTCACTTCTTTTGTGATTCTTCAGTTACTTCAGGCCATCTGGGCGTATACGTGCAAGTCACGCGCAAGTCACAGGGGATGTGATGGCCTGGTTTGGCCTCAGAGACCTGACATAAAGAAAAATAAATGCTCTAAACACATACTCTGCTGGGTACAAAGAATTTCATGGGTAGCTGACTGCTTTATGTAAGACAAGGGTCTCAAATGAAAGCTTCATTCAGATTGCCCAGGCTGCAGAAGAGCACCAGGGGAGGTTCTGACTCATAGAAGGTGGAGGATTCCTGAACTTCGGTAAAAGTAGAGAAAGAGACAAATCCTTCTTATTACATGGAGAAGATGGCTTTGTGCTTTCTTTTGTTCCTCAGATATAGATTCTAAGTCAAGCCCCCTTTGGAATTCTAGGTTGTGCAGTCTGAGAACGTTCAGTCTTCACGGTATGAAATTGAGATAAGAATCAGTCAAGGGATTTTTAAAATAAAGCTTTTTCTTAAATATAATGGAGCTAATGAAAAGAAACAGCTAACTGACTGGAGCCTTGTGATATGACTTTGAGACCACATTTGGAAATATTTTTACTTTAGGATGAGGTTAAGTCTTATCTTAATCTTTCCAAAGATCAGAAACTAAAAGTCCAGAAGGAGGGTTGAGGGAATGGCTGAGATGTTGCTACAGAGAGATGTTGCTGAAGTCTATGAGGCCCAGACTCTAAGAGACAAGGTAAGTAAATAATTTTCTCAGGGACAGTTAATGGAACTAGACAGGGCTAAAATAAAGAACTAGCTAACAGAAGGGGCAGAGAATCTCATAATGCTCAGCTATTGTCCCCAGTGCCATCAACACAGTATGATATAGCAAGGGTAACATTGGTATCCAGCACAGGCAGGGAGGCTATTACAATAAAACTTGCCAAGGGAAAGTAAAGCCAGATGTTAGCATCATATTTTGAAACACTCAGATAGAGCTTGATTGTTTCTAAGAGGCACTGATAGTGAATATTTAAGGCCTAAATTCTGGATTGCCATGATTTCACAGAAGTAGGTGCAAGTGGGTCAGAAAATTAAGAATCACTTAATATTTGGATTGATGATTCTTTTAAAAATGGTATTGAAAGCATCATTTGGAAAGAGAAATCAATCAATTAAAAAAACAATGAATAGAAATAAAGTGGAAAAGTACCTCTTTAAAACGTGTAATAAATAACTGTTAAATGCACTGTTCTCATTTTGTGGAAGAGCAGAAAGGGAAATGTCTTTAATGGACTTTTATAGTTACATTGTGATGTTATGGCCTAAAGATTTATTTTCAAACTATTTAAACTCTTATTTCACACACACACACACACACACACTCACACATATATATAGTTATTTTTTACCATGAATTTTTAAAAAATCAGGAATAGTTGCTATACTAAACAGCTCAAAACTATGTTGGTTAAATAGCAGCTCAATAAAGCATGCTGGGATTATGGATTCTGCTTCTTATGTTCATGCTCTCTTTTCATATATGGGGTATTTATCTTGTATTATTAAAATATTAAATATTTAAAATGTTTAAATATTATAAATCATTAAATAAAAATACATCTGAATAGAAATTATGTTGAGCCCATGGGATCAATTCAATTGTCATGACTGAAAAGATAGCCTAGAAGCAATAACTGATTAACTCAAGAACATTGGCCAGAAGCTCATACAAATCCATCGACATTCACACTGACTTTTCTCTATTTTAATCTTTATAATAATTAGTAAAGTTTTTTTCTCTGTTCTCATGTTGCTTAAATTCTTTAGTGTCTTCGATGAAAATCCAACATATTTCTTGCCAAAGATGACTATATTTGTGTAGTCCACATTTTTGTTCCAGAATTTGGTGCTCCTTAGTAATAGGAAATATTTTTCACTTAGGGCCGACAAGAGATACCACCTTCCTTCCTCTGTGAGGTTAGAGGAAAGACGTATTTTTGTCCTGATTCCATTGTTTGTACTCAAAAGAGATAACTTTGAGGGATCAGGAAGAAAAACATGAACCATTCCTCACTATTTGCTGAGTTACTCAAGATCACTATGGTAGACTGGAATAACAGTGATGCTATGGAGCCCATATTTATCTTGAGGGGTTTTCCTGGACTGGAGTATGCTCATTCTTGGCTCTCCATCCTCTTCTGTCTTGCATATTTGGTAGCATTTATGGATAATGTTACCATCCTCTCTGTCATTTGGACAGAATCCTCACTCCATCAGCCCATGTATTACTTTATTTCTATCTTGGCAGGGAATGACCTGGGGATGTCCCTGTCTACACTTCCCACCATGCTTGCTGTGTTATGATTGGATGCTCCAGAGATTCAGGCAAGTGCTTGCTATGCTCAGCTGTTCTTCATCCACACATTCACATTCCTGGAGTCCTCAGTGTTGCTGGCCATGGCCTTTGACCATTTTGTTGCTATCTGCCATCCACTGCGTTACCCCACCATCCTCACCAACAGTGTAATTGGCAAAATTGGTTTGGCCTGTCTGCTGCGAAGCTTGGGAGTTGTACTTCCCACACCTTTGCTACTGAGACACTATCAATACTGCCATGGCAATGCCCTCTCTCATGCCTTCTGTTTGCACCAGGATGTTTTGAGATTATCCTGTACAGATGCCAGGATCAATAGCATTTATGGGCTTTGTGTAGTCATTGCCACACTAGGTGTGGATTCAATCTTCATACTTCTTTCTTATGTTCTGATTCTTAATACTGTGCTGGGTATTGCATCTCAGGAAGAGCAGCTAAAGGCACTCAACACATGTGTATCCCATATCTGTGTGGTGCTCGTCTTCTTTGTGCCAGTTATTGGGGTGTCAATGGTCCATCGCTTTGGGAAGCATCCATCTCCCATAGTCCACGTCTTCATGGCAGACATCTACCTTCTTCTTCCCCCAGTCCTTAACCCTATTGTCTATAGTGTCAGAACAAAGCAGATTCATTTAGGAATTCTCTGCAAATTTGTCCTAAGGAGGGGGTTTTAAGTAACCTCTATACTCCAACTTTTCCACTGAAAATCTCATGGAAGCTATTTTAGTATATGAAAAGTAAAATATCTGGGCATTGCTCATCTGATTAATATCCTAATTCTTTTACTTCTTATACATGTAATTTCAGTTAATCTTTAATGAATTTGAAACTCAGGATTTTTTTGGACAAATTGTGACAACCATGGCCTTATGTTGTCCCCAGATCATTACAAGACTTATAATAGAAAATGTATGTGCTAAGTCAAGTTTTTTGAAAACTGTACAAAATTATTAACGTTATTAAGTTGTGATTGTCGTTAATGATAATAATAGCGTATCTTTTCTTCCTAAATGTAACTGTGTTTATATTGTTTCTCATATTAATTATCTAAAACTCAGAAATCAATCTCTATCTCTTTTACTAATACTGCTGCCCATATTTTGTTTCTCATCCAACAGTGTCATAACTGCTTATAAAAAAATTTGAGTTCTTAGGGCAAGTCTGGAACTTGAGTTCCTGACAGGATTTCGAACTGCTGCTGTGGTTGTTTGCTATGTACAAGTTCTAATCTCATCACTTAGTGATGTGTCCTCTCTCTTATTGCTATTCTAGATCTATCAGCTTCCTCAATTTTCCAGCAAATACTGAGTTAGATAAATGGGAGTGTTACCAAATATAGTTTCAGTTGCTTGCTACTTGCAAAATCAAATAACAAGAATGAAGATGGTAAGAAGAAAGTTACTATTCCAGAGCTTAGTGATGAGTCAGGGCCAGATTTGACACTTCAGCATTCTGGGCAGAAAGCAGGGTTTTAATAAGATAAATTTTGGTATTCTGGCCATGCAGAAGGCACATAGACTGTGGGGTCTATATGGCTTGCTCATGAATGTTTATCTTGAGTCATCTGGTGGGTCATCCAGTGGTCTGGCCAGTGGGGAAGAATTTGGTAGGGTGCTTGGTTTGTTTTAAGACTTGGTCTATGGAACTTCTTTTTCTTTCCTTTTTTTTTCTTTTGAGACTGAGTCTGGCTCTGTCACCCAGGTGGGAGTTCAATGGCACAATCTCTGCTCACTGTAACCTTTGCCTCCCAGGTTCAGCAATTCTGCTGCCCCAGCCTCCCAAGTAGCTGGGATTACAGGCGTGTGCCAACATCCCTGGCCAATTTTTATATTTTTAGTAGAGGCGGGGTTTCACCATGTTGGCCAGGCTGGACTCGAATTCCTGACCTCAGGTGATCCGCCCACCTCGCCCTCCCAAAGTGCTGGGATTACAGGTGTGAGCCCCCTCAACCGGCTGGCGTATGGAACTTCTAAGCAAACATAGAGTAATATAAGGAAGTTGTGCTTGCAGGTGGTTTGGCCAGTGGAAAAAAAGGAATGTAAAGGTTGTAATTGCATTCCTAAAGAGCAAAGTAAGAGATGAGGAAAACGGGGAAAAAATTGTAAAATATATATATATTTTTTTAAGAAAATGGGGTACTCAGTTACAGGAATTGCTGAAGAAAGCCTGACAGTACATGTCTAAACATCTGGGCAATTGTGTTGACTCTGTTTAATAGTATGGGACAGGATTTTATGTCTTAATTTGTGAATGGGTTGAGAGCTGTGCACAATCTCAATCCTCATCTTTTTTTTTTTTTTTGAGACGGAGTCTTGCTCTGTCACCCAGACTGGAGTGCAGTGGCCGGATCTCAGCTCACTGCAAGCTCCGCCTCCCGGGTTCACGCCATTCTCCTGCCTCAGCCTCCCGAGTAGCTGGGACTACAGGCGCCCGCCACCTCGCCCGGCTAGTTTTTTGGTGTATTTTTTTTTAGAGTAGAGACGGGGTTTCACTGTGTTCACCAGGATGGTCTCGATCTCCTGACCTCGTGATCCACCCGTCTCGGCCTCCCAAAGTGCTGGGATTACAGGCTTGAGCCACTGCGCCTGGCCAATCCACATCTTTTAATAGTACTCAGCTGGAGAAATGAGCCTTGCCTGGGATCATCCACTGACCCATTCAATGACTAAGGTAGAAAGTTGGAAAGGTCTGGCCCCTTCAGCCCAGTGAAGAAAATATTCACTGCTTTCAGGCCTGATTTACAGCTCAACTTTTCCTTCTGCCCAATCCTACCCACTTTCATTTCTTTTTATTTTTAAGATGATTATCCCAGGATTCTCTTATTAAATAAACTGCACACTAAATTTTACCTCAAAGTTTGCTTCCCAGAGAACCCTGAAATCAGAAGTTCTCAGAAAACCTGTGACATATAGGTGTTAGGGTTGGCTAATAGCCAAGTCTCATGACTTCAAATATATTACTGGTAGAAGGTATTCAAGTTACCAGTGGCAAATCTGTATGGGTCTGTAGCAACCTCAATTCTTGCCTCCTCAGAAGAAAGAAATAGACTGAGGGGCATAAGGCAGAGAAATAAATCAAGGCAAGTTTTGAGCAGGAGTGGAAGTTTATTTAAAAATGCTTTAGAAGAGGAAAAAAAGGAAAGTACACGTGGAAGAGACCCAAGTGAGTAAACTGAAGGATAAGTGCTATGTTTAACCTCAGTCCTAGGAGTTTATAGGTTGGCCCCTTTCCCGTGATCCTTCCCTTAGAGTGGGCTGCCCACATGCACAGTGCCCTCCTCACCCTTAGGAAGTGAGCATGCCCAGTGTGTTCAGGAAGTTGTACGCATGCCCATCCGAGGCTTTCTTCCCTTTCTCGGTGGTGTGCCCTCAGAAGGTCACACTCTTTCATTTTGTCTCTTAATGCACATGTCTGGAAAGTTGCTTCCTTTTGGCATCTGCATGCTATTAGCAGTTTAGTGCAACAGGTGGGGACCATCAGGAAATGGCCTCTCCCTGGTGCAAGCTGCCAATTTATCACTTTTAGAGAGGCAATATGATAATTGCCCAACCATTGCCTAACATTCCTAGTGAGTGTGGTAGAGCCCTCTCCTGACCAACTCATGCCTGTCTAACTACCTGTAATATTGAGAGGAGCTGGGCATATTCCTCAGCCCCGGGCTCAAAACAAACAAGCCCAATACAAACACATCCCATCCTCCCATCCCACCACATATCGCCATGTATCTCTCAAACTTCCTGAGCCCAGTACAAACAC